TCCAGTTTTGGTTTAGTTCTGCACGAGACCAAAAAAAACCCAAATGGGAAAAAAATTTGGAGAGCAGTTTGAACGGCAACAAAATGAAAACAAAAGGTCCGGGAACGTCTCCGTAAAGAAAAAAAAATGCGAACAAAACTCTGAGGAACGTTCTCAAGAAGAACAGAATGAGGACGAAGCTTTCGGGTGCGTTTCCATGGAGAACAAGATAAGAACGAAAGTATCGTGAACGTTTTCAATAAGTATCAAATAAGAACAAAAGCCTGGGGAACTTTCTGCAAGAGAACAAGAATGAGAGGGCGTCTGCTTGTTAGGATGAAAAATCGTTTCACAAAGAACCTCGATTGTTAACTCTAAGCCAGAGGAAAACAGGATCATTTCAACTATCAGATCATTTATCATTTGGGTCAACCGCCCATTTATGGAAAAATTTTCATTTTCTGTGCAACAAAAGTTTGCGTCTTAAGTCTTTCGTGGACTTTATTTGCATATTTATCTTTCAGATCTTTTTCGATTAATTTTAATATTCAAACAATTCAAACTAATGGAATGCTATGACATAAATTTTATTCTCGCCGGCATTCTTCGCGAATAGTTCAGAGAAGATTTGTTGCCGTGCCGCAGACTTTTGTTCCCAATTTGTTTGTTGCATTACATATTTCACGGGGCAATACTTTGTTACCAGCTTATGAGATGGTAACAAAATTTACCGGTTACAAGAGTACACAGAAAGCGAAAAGGGTTTACAAATTGACAGGGACTTTATTTACCGGTTACAAACTTTTTATTACCAGCGCAGAATAGACCTGTTAGGCTTAAATTACTACTTCTACTCATCCAGTCCAACAATAAAAAATACTGGAAAATTGTGGTATTGAAAACAATTGAGTCAAAATGAGTTTTGGATGTTCAATAAATCACTCACCCTATGGTCACTGTCAAGGTGTAGGAATGGTAATTTCCAGGATTGTAGTCGAAAGTTCAAGCCCGAATTTAAGCCTAAGTAAAAGGATCTATAACCATTCGCTTAATTGCGGGAAGAACTCAAAGTTCGCCAAAATCCTTTTTCGCTGTTCAACAAATGACTAGAAGTGACTATCAGGTCAATTTGCAAGGATAGTAGTCGAGGGTTCTAGCTTTAACCCATTAGCCCATTTTTTGACAATCTGACCTCGTTTTTCTCAAAATCTGGAGCTGATGGAAACTTTATACTTACGGACTCGTAATCAGCATAAACAAGTCTTTAACATTTGCCGCATCAGATGTTTTGTCCATTTTGTTGACCTGTGTTATTATTATTAATAATATTATTAATAGCGAAAAAAATTCCACTAATTCCAAATAAAATTCAGGGAAATTTATTCACAGCCAATTTCACGAAAACAATTTAATTGAAAAGTTATTTTAATTTTTTGAGTCTTATATGAAAATTTACAGAAAATAAAAACTCATTTTCCATTTAAATTGCTGGTAATTGCTGGTGCGTAAAAAATGAAACTTGCTTTAGGGATCAATGGTGAAAAACAGTGTCAATTTACATAAAATGATTTTTGAATGAAGTGAAGTCTAGCGGATCCCTGCTGTGGGGGCCACTGTCTTCCCTCCACACTCGTGGGACAATTGGTGGGCACAAAACCGAAATCACTCCTTAAAAATCGAAAGAAGCACCGTGGGTACCAGATCCGTGAAATCCAAAGGGTAGTGCCTCTCAAAAAAGCGAGGCGAACCAAATTTGCTTTTTTGGCCGATTGTCTTTGCTGGTCAGTTCAGTGTTCATTTGCCTAAATAAAGTAAGAAAACGATACACTGTAGCTAAGAAAAGACTCGCTAGATGGGGCTACAACTTTAATGGTTGTTGTCTTTGCTGATCCCACCGTACTTTTGATAGATATGCCTGTAAGTATGTATGTATGTATGTATGAATGTACGTTCGCAATGCAAACGACGACTGGCTGCTATCAAAATTGGGTATTTTCCAATGATATAATAAGTGCAGATGGCCTATTCGTGAAGACGACTAATATACAAACATACATAAACAGCAAAAGCGTCATTGTATGTATAACTTTTCGATTGGGTTGTTCACACTTGCCTGGTTATCTGGTTAAATATTATTATTCTTCAGTGTAACTATATTATCGTTGTAAATTGAATAAAAAATATAACTACATAACCAGATAACCAGGCAAGTGTGAACAACCCACATTTTTTGCTTTATTTAAATATTTTTTAGTTTTTTTGTTGCATCTATCCTTCTATCATTCAGAACTGGAGCGTTAAAGCCAAATTTGCGGTTGTCATTAATCAAAATGATATTATCTCACCTTCGTTCTGCTACATGCTTACATACATAGATATGTAGGTATGTATGTGCATATGTATGTGCATATGTGTATGTAGTACATGCATGTAGTTAGCGTAATTATGGGTTAGCCAAACACCATCAGGCTCAAATTCTCTCCTCTAAATTTGCAAGCAGACATCTCAAATAAACAAATAAACAAATAAACATTCTGGACGAGCAAATATTTATTTTTGCGGTTAAGACAAGCGCCTGCATAGGAGATCGAATGGGCAACATTTGGCATGCAAGCATCACTCCAATTATCCAATAACTGCAATCTGATGGATATAATTTTCGAAATCACACACGTGTAAATTGGTATGTATACATACATACATACATACATACATATGTACATTTATACTGTGCGTATTCATGCATTGTTAAGTATGCCCTCGTCCGGCCATCAAAGACATTCATTCATTCTGCAATGTTGTCAGGTAGGTACCGAACACTTTAATGTTCATCACCTCGGCAGCCTAATTGCAATGGACAATTCCTGCAGTTAAGGAGCAATAATTTAGTTGAATGTGTATTCATATGGGCATATGTACATACATATATCTACATTAACTCACATTTCACTTCAGAGAAGTTAATTTCTTGCTGCTTACTCTACTTGCGTTTAAGGTGTCGACATATTAGACAAAGTTCTAAGAACGACATATTGGATACAATTCTAAAGACTCGCCCCTTTGCTTTCAATTTGAAAGTTGTCCTACTTCGAAAGCCAAGTTAGGTTCTCTTTCGATTAATCAAAGTAGTCATGATAGTGTTTCCGCCATAGACTCATCCAGTTAGGCGCCATCTCCCAGAGATCTCAAACCCAATATAATACCGATGCTAATTTTATTAAAGGTATTTCAAGTGTAAACATTATACACGCTTGAAACCCCCAGGTCTGAAGCCACACTGATAAGGTGGACAACCCTACATTAACAGAAAACTTATCCCGAGGTAATTGATGTACATAAACAACAGGATCTCTTTATGTGGTTTAGGCAGAGCGTACTGATATTGGGGCAATTCATTAGATCAAACGGTGTTTAACACAGCCGATTGGCATTGGAGTCGGTGTTGTTTTTGAGTTGTCATACTGCTGTTATCACCTTATCTTGAATCATTTGTCTCGAATGTTCTTCATCGAAAGCGCTACCATATCTTAATTGTATCAATCTGTTATCCGATTTCCATCTTCATTTCTACCAGCACCGGCCCAGGTTAAAACCAGTTCACAAAAAGTTTTCGACCCGCATTCCTGCCTGCCAACATCTCAAGCTGTAATTAGCGAAGCGTTTCTGCTCGACTCCAACAAAGTACGGCAGTCGTTTCTCTTCTATGTCAACTAACGCCAATCAGAAATGCCAAGCGAAGACAAGTCCTTCTGAGGTACTTGCCTTCGCCAACGTGTAAGGGCGCCCATAAATCTTTCGCAGAATATTTCTCTCGAAAACACCAAGAGCCGGCTCATTAGATGTTTTCATTGTCTACGCTTCTGCGCCATGCATGAGAACGGCCATGATGAGTGCCTTATAGGCAGTGTAGGCACTAATCGATTGATTTTTTAATCAATTAGTTAATTCGATTAAATTCAATCCGATTACAGTTAATCGTGATTAATTTTAATCCGATTAAACAGCAAATCGTAACCGCGACAAAAAAAATTAAAATAATTTTTAACCATTAACCCTTAATTTGATTAAGTAGATTTGGTGATTAATTAATTTATGCTGGAATTTTCTGTGCACACAATGCCAGTTAATAGGGTATGGCTAGATCGGTTTTCCTCATCAATTTTAGCAATTTGGTGTGCGTTTTTATTAAAATCTATTACAACAGACGTTATGTAAACTTGGTTTTAATATCCCTCTGCACATGTGCGATGGGTTGTAAAAATTCCCAGTTTATGTATTACTAATAAAAATACAAATTATTTTTTTTTTTATATATTATGTGTTTTTTATAAGCGTGAAACGCAAAAGAACAACTATAATTCTTGTTTGTTCAAATTCAGATTTTCTTTTTAATTGGATTAATGATTAATGATTAAAATTAATTAATCGTAATCACAACAGACGATTAACGATTAAAAAATTTAATCATTAATCGTACAGGTGATTACTATTAATTAATTTTAATCGCTAGTCGCTATTAACATTTTACTCGTTACTTTTTAATCCTTAATCAGATTAACACTTTGCCAACACTGCTTATAGGTTATGATTTTTGTACGGCGAGAGAGGACTTTACTTCTCAATTGCCACTGAAGTAGCATCTTTTGGCTAGAGTAATTCTCCGTTGAATTAAGCTGAAGTCGAAATTATTATTGTTATTAATGTTGGTTCCTAAATAAACGAAGTAGTCTACTTTTTCGAAATTGTAGCTGTCAACAGTGTCCTGGGTGCTGCGACGGGAATGCTTAAACTTTTTGTCTGTTTGTTTTGACAGGAGGTACTTCGTTTTGTCCTCGTTCAGCACCAGACCTAAGAGTTTTGTTTATACTTGTAACATACATATGTACATATATCTAATTCTAGATGTTGTCGGCATACGTATTTAAACATACATAAGCATACTCATCGGTAAATTAAAACAACCAAACTATGTCTATATTTATGTATGTACATTGTATGTATGTATTTGTGTTTGTATTTACATATTTATGCCATCAATAATCGCTTACAATTATAATAAAATTACAATATATGTATGTATATTTTGCTTCTTTAAAAATGTCCAAGGTACCTATTGTAAATTTCGTTTATCACAATAAAGACACTCAGTTGGCGAAAGCGAAAATTAGAATAGCTCAGCTATTTGTTCCTCGCGGTCCACTATTTTGTACGTTTGCATGGATCATCATCTGGTTTCGGTTTCTATTTGCCTATGCCTTTTTTCCGTACTACATACTAACTATGTTTCTACTACCTATCAAATTAGTCACAGCGCATTTACAAAGCGTTTAAAATTCTTTCCAAGTTAATTCCCTAATTATATTCAATGCCTTCAAGGCCCCGGAATTTCCCGTGTGCTTCATTCGCCTCAATCCAAGAGGTCCTTCAGTGTTTTCGGCGTATACACATTTACGATGGCATCCCATCCGCAATCCGCAAGCTGATGTGGTCTACCAGCATTCCAAGCCAGTCCGCACACAAACTCCGTGTGATTTACATTGACCTCCATAGCGTCTAAGGACTGATTGAAATCCCATATCCTGCAGTGGTAAAATAATGTCAATTGGTTCTTTATAAAATTCCAAGCGAAATAGTCGCTTGTAAACGCAAGCACCTCGTCGTAAAGTCGTAGTTTGCCGTTGCTACTACCGTTGCCGCTGTCGGCGAGCAAGCCAAACGTCGCACGGCGAACTCTCCGGAGTACAGCTGGAAGATGTGATGACGCATGTTGCGCAAATCCCACGCTCGCACCAGTCCATCCGAACCACCAGTCATCAGAATGTTCCGATCGAATTGGCTCCAGTCACAGGCCAGCACCTCGCCATTGTGCGCTGCCTCGATGCTCATCAGTGGTTTACCTGAAAATTCAAGAGCAGAATTCCATAAGTTTAAACAACCATCAGTACTTACACTGGCGAAGAGGTTGGCAATCAGTGGTGAGAACTTGGCACAGTAGATGAGGTCACTGTGTCCGGTACAGGTGGCAACCGAGTTCTGGCGATGGCAGTCCCACAGCTTGATGGTGCCATCCCAACTGGCCGACAATAGTTGATGGTAGTTCCACTGCTCGCCCCAGTTGATGCTGTACACCTCGTTCTTATGCTCCTGCAGAACCATCAAGGGTTGAGTTAGCGTCTTAAGCGTTGCTTCCGCATCGATGTCTTCGTTCAGTCCGCCCCAGATCTGCAAAGAGCCATCACCAGAAGCCGTTGCCGCAATATTATCCGCATACGGACACCAGGCCTGAAAATGAGGGAAGAACGATGTGATTAGGTACATGATGGCGAGAAAGTGCCCGGTTACAATAAGGCCTTACCACATCGAAAAGTCCATCGGACCACTCCATGCGGCTAAGTTGCGTTAAGCCTTTGCCATCGGCTGTAGAAGGCAGCTTCAGCAGAAATAGTGTGCCACCACCAGCCAAACCATAAAGCTGACTTGTGGCCAACAATAAATGGTTTGGCTGAAATGGTGAAAAGCACACGCTGTAGCCATGGCAATCGGGAGTGGAACACGACTGCATTCTCCACGCGATGATTTGTGGTCGCTGTGGCTGAAATCTACAAAGAAAATGTGGATGAGTGGAATGTATGCAAGCAAGTGTAAATGTGTAAGTAAAAAGTGTGGATGGAACAGTTTTTTTTTTTTTAGTTTTTGGTGATCAGCAGCGACAAGCACCGCACCAATGATGGTGGGTATCTACGCTTTGAGCCTAAAAGCATGTTTCGAAATATTCCTTTGTGAATCAGTGCAGGAAAAAAGGAAATGAGTCTCCGAATTGCTGGAATTTTATTTATGCATTCGCATTTTCGTGCAGCACTTCCACTAAATCATTTCCGTTATTGTAGTAGCAGGTATGCGCAAATCTATATGTATGTGAGCATCTCTGTATGTCATATATATGTATAACAGTTAGGCAAAAGAATGCAAGAAAGACACAGACTGTTAATGTGTAAATGCGGAAAAACTCTAAACCGTCCAGTTGGGAGATTTCACGGACGAGAAGTTTGGAATCCATCTACAATTGATGAAGATCTTTTCAAGATGGTTAATGGGGAACGAGACGCACGCTGGCTTTGGGAGAGGGAATCCTACTGCTAAACAGGCAATTTTAAATCTTGCGGCTTTAATCTGTAAATGTTGCGACGCTTAACCAGGAATGCTGCCTGCGCGAGCGAAAGCGCAGAAACCTAAGAGCAAGCTATGGCAAGCAAGGATATGATCAGAAAAGCATATAAATGATCTGGACATTGAAGAGCACCAGAAGGAATACCTACATATAAAAACGTGCGCAATAAACTTAAAAATTATATTTATTTCAAACAGTTTTGCGCTGATGCAGACACAAATACCTGGGGAACCGCATGTAAGGTCACATTGTCTCCTCCTGGATATATTGGAGAAAGATTTTGGGGAGCAATATCCTCGAACGTTTCAAAGCCACGTCCCTTTTGAGATGACAATCAAGGTGGGAGTACAGCTCTCAAATAAGATCAACGCTCACCCTTATCTGTTATATAGGAAAACAGGTGAAAAATACGCATGGTGAAGTGAACTTTCATTTTTGGCGCAGAATGAAACTTTCTGACAAAAATGGCACTCCACGCATTGATACCATGTTCCTTTCTGAGCGCAATTAGTCCATCTTTGCCAACGCGATCGCTTGTGTAGGGCAGCAGCTGAGAGAAGATGGCTCCAGGCACAGCACATGCGGCGCCCCAGTTAGTAAAGAAGAAGCTAAACAAAGATGCAGTGGAAGATGGTAAGATGGCAATAAAAAATAGGTGGCAGTGAAAAAAGAGTCGGAGAGCATACAAACAGATGATGGTTTCAAGTTGAGGCAACTTACGGACTTCATTAGGACTATAACCACCTGAGGGCGATATACTTGACGGTAGTTTCGGCTGGGGAACGGTCATGACGGCAGTAAGTTTAGTGGGTTAAAGTCTCCCACTGACTGACGGTTTTTGGGGTTAGCATTTTGATACTAGAGGAGGTACCTCGTAAAAAAGCAATTAGGCGAACTGTGTGTATGGTATGGATAATGGCGGCTTTAGACACGTTTTTATGCGCGAGTTATGGGTGTCAAAATATTATGTGAACTATACTATACAGAAAACAAGAAAGGTCGGTTTTTTTTTTTATATGTATGCAGTACATTGCTATAGATGTTATTTCGTAAATACTACGTGTGAAACTTTGTCAAGTGAGGAAAACATAATTTTATTGCTTAGCTTATTTTATTGATTTTTCTTGGTTTCTATTGGCACCTACCTATTTTACTATGGCTTCAACACAAGTTTTGAGAAAGCAATGGGAAGTGGATAAAACATTGGAATGCATGTATGTACATGCATATATATATATGTATGTATGTATGTATGTATGTATATACCCTTGTGGTCAGCTGATTAAGTTAAGTGACATTTTGCCCAGTTTTGGCTATCACTCACCACGTAAATCCACATTTCAAGCTTCGCACAAAAATTAAAAAAAATTTAACAAACTTTAACAATTACACCCAAAAATTTAAATTTTTTTTTTACTTAAGAAGAATTTTAAATATGCAGTTTTATAGCCCATTAATGTGCACATTTTAAAACGCTAGAAAATCGCGTATATTTTTAATATTTTTTTTTTTTGCTGACAGTGTTGTGCATTTTCTTTCATAAAAACAATGCTCGGCAATTACTTTTATATGGAAGAAATATCTAAAAATTTTGAATAAGAAGTTTAAAATTTGTCGTTGTCATTTTAAAGTTTGTTGAATTTTTGTGCGAAGTGTGAAATGTGGATTTACGTGGTGGGAAAAATAGCCGAAATTGGTCAAAATGTCACTTAACTTAATCAGCTGAACGCAAGGATATATTAGACTGGGTCGCGAGTTAAATTTTGAAAATGGAAATGGGAAAGCGAAGCGCAAACACTTTTCGACTTTTTATTGAAATTGCATAACTTCAAATAAAATGCATTTACCATCCCAGCCGATTAAAAGTTGATAAATATATATGTATGTATGTTGTGCGATTATGTGAACCGAATTGCAGTAAAACCATGGCAACCTTCCTCCCCTTACTATTCAGTGTACCTGCAGATGTTCGCACATAACATTTCGGATTAGATAAGAAAAGTGCACTCAGCAGCGTTACGACTAACCTTGCTTGAGGTCGCAGCGTAAAATGTTAATGTCACTAAAAAGCTACCAGCATTTACCTGCATGCAGGCTTGCCACAACTTACACAGGCCAACAGCGCGCGAAGACACTTGCCAATAACCGCGTTGGCTTCAATCTGCCAGCCGCACGCGCAGCCACCCCTATTTCGATTCGGTTCGATTCGATGCCGCAGTTGAAGGCGGATGGCGGGGCTTCTTGTGGCCGGCCACTGGAATGTTAGTTAGCACAATTACGAGGCAGCGCGCAAATTGGTATACGTAACGAGAAAATCCACTTAGTTCGAAAAAAAAAAAAATGACAAACAACCTCCACCTCCCCCAGTGGTTGGGGTGAAAAGCAAAGGTATATAAGCAGGTACATGCGGTCACTATGCTCGCATTTCCCTTCAGATACGCGCGAACATTAGAACCCCAAACCACAACAAGTCATTCAGAGTGCTCGAAGTGTGAAGTGAGTTGATTGAATAGTTGCAAAGGACGTCGTAAGGACATTCGTGCGGAAACTAAATAATACTAAACGTTTCAAAAATAATCCAAGAAGGATGGTCGTATCGGTGAAAGTTTTCAAGAAGGCCACCCCCAATGGCAAAGTAACCTTCTATCTGGGTCGCCGTGATTTTATTGATCACTTGGACTACTGCGATCCTGTCGACGGTGTGGTGGTTGTAGATCCGGATTATTTGAAGAATCGTCGTGTTTACGGACAGCTAGTCACCACCTACCGCTATGGCCGTGAAGAGGACGAAGTCATGGGTGTCAAATTCTCAAAGGAGCTGATCCTTTGCCGCGAGCAAATCGTGCCCATGACCAACAGCAACATGGAAATGACGCCGATGCAGGAGAAACTCGTACGCAAGTTGGGCGGCAATGCGCATCCATTCACCTTCCACTTCCCACCCAGCTCACCCAGCTCGGTGACACTGCAACAGGAGGGCGACGATATGGGCAAGCCACTCGGCATTGAGTACACCATTCGCGCCTATGTGGCCGACTCAGAGGATGACCGCCAACACAAGCGCAGCATGGTCAGTTTGGTGATCAAGAAGTTGCAGTACGCACCTCCAACACGAGGCCAGCGCCTGCCGAGCTCATTGGTAAGCAAGGGTTTCACCTTTTCTAACGGCAAGATTAGCTTGGAGGTGACACTCGATCGGGAGATCTACTACCACGGCGAGAAGGTGGCAGCCACCGTGCAGATCAGCAACAACTCCAAGAAGTCAGTGAAGAACATCAAATGCTTCATTGTACAACACACAGAGATCACTATGGTCAATGCACAGTTCAGCAAACACGTGGCTCAACTGGAGACAAAGGAGGGCTGCCCCATAACGCCAGGCGCAAATCTATCCAAGACATTCTACCTAATTCCATTGGCAGCGAACAATAAGGACCGTCATGGTAAGTAAACGCCACACGCGAGTATATGTATACATATGTATGTAAACACACACGCCTACTTTGAACCGCATATTTACTCGCCAGGTATTGCACTCGATGGCCACTTGAAGGACGAAGACGTGAATCTAGCATCCTCGACGATGGTGCAGGAAGGCAAGTCCACCGGCGATGCTTGCGGCATCGTGATCTCGTACTCGGTGCGAATAAAGCTGAACTGCGGCACTTTGGGCGGCGAAATGCAGACAGATGTGCCATTCAAGCTTCTGCAACCGGCACCAGGTAAGTAAGATCGCGAGCTTAAGCTTCCAAGATTGTGTCGTCGTTGTAAACAAAAAACCATTTCGCTTCTTCCCTCCCGCTATATAGGCTCTGTCGAGAAGAAACGCTCCAATGCAATGAAGAAAATGAAGTCGATTGAGCAGCACCGCAACGTGAAGGGCTACTATCAGGATGACGACGACAACATCGTATTTGAAGACTTCGCCAAGATGCGTATGAATAATGTTAATATGAATGATTAGGCGGGGCAGGCGCATTGTGGCGCGCTTGTGGGCGCAGTGAGCTGCCCAAGAATTGGACGGCTATCCGCGAACGTTTTGGCCCTGAGGGCGTATGTGATATTACTAATGGAAACTGACGGACGAAACTATACGAATGTAATTTGTTGCTACAACGGTCATTTCGCCATCGCATCTCAACAGCAGCGGCACTAAACTTAATCCTTATTAAAAAAATTTATTCTTGTATACTTTTTGTATTTGTGCGTGTATGCGAAGCAATACTCCCAAATCAATTACACGTCCAAATACCACCTGTATGGTGTGGATTCTCTCTCGCACTACTGTTAATCACAATAAAATTGTTGATCTGTGAACGACGATGAAAGTGTTAGCGTGGAACTTGCGAAATTACTTACTTATACTTGTTGGAGAACACACAGTTTTCCAGTAGCGTAAACTACTAGACTGTTTAGATTTAATCGAATTGAATTTACAAAAATAGTGATGAAGTATTTTAGGCGTATTTGAAGCGTTTTCGAAACCGTCTGGAATGTATCCGTTGGAAGCATCCGTTCGGTTTGCTGTAAGTTTCAAATATGACTGTTGAATGTTTGTGGCGAGGTCAGCCGCCAAGCCAGCGAAATGAGTTGCCTCACGCCGCCGAATATCCATATATAAAAAAACGGTCAATGGCAAGGTGAAGACATGGCATAAGGGTTGGTGCGCCTTGTGAGTGTGTGTCCTTATTCTCGTCCACAATGTACAAGGCGCGTCCTTCGGTTCTGTGTTGTTTGTGCAATCGCATAAAAGCTAACCGAAAATTTGCTACCCTTGTTTTGTAGTCGAATCGTTTGACCAATCAGCGTTGAGTACCGGGCCAGCAACCCTTTGGGGCTACAAAATTTCGATTGGTAATTCAGGTATCATTTTTTGAGAATAATGCAAGTTCGTATATTTCTCAAAAATTGACCTTCTGTTCTAACCGTCATCCATTTTATTTACATACATACACACATATATACCTATGTAGGTGCGTAAGTTTGTGTCCGTTTTTTTTTTTTTTGAAGGATTTCTTTGTATGAGAAAGCCATAATTATTGGCCTTTGAAACTTGTTGAAATATACGTTACGTATGCAAATCAGTTTACTTCTTCTTCGCGTTCTTTTGTGATTGAAAACCAGTTGCGCCAAATTCGCAGATGTTAAAAAATTTGCAAAATATTCGCTATCTTACAGTTCCACAGTGCAGTGCAGTGATAGTTTATATTCAATTGGGAAAGGTGCTGGAAGTGGTGTTATCCATCAGTGGTCTTTGAAATTCGAGAAATTCCATTGAAATTAAGAAATTGTGTTGAAAAGCGGCGTTTGGCTAAGAAAAGTGTTATTCGGAAGCTTTCGACCTCAGAGGTCACCAAATATAAGTAAAATGATTTTGCGGAGGTTCAACATTGCGCTCGGGTTCACCAGGTATATGCTGCAATTTACTTCCCAGTGATTTTCAACCCCTGACAATTTGATTATCTCGTTTTGAAATCCACCAGTTTTATTATTCCGTTTCATCCATACTCCTACATACTATGTTGACGTCGTTAGAAGCCATTGTGGCCTCCCATAATCGGGCATCTCTCTTATTTTCGGAAATTGTAACCCACATTGAATGATCTCAATCCTTCAAGGAATTTACTCTAACAGCATTTCTAGCTTTCGAGTGCGCCCACAAAAACATTACGTTCTCATCAGTTACGACAGCGATAACAAATCTGGGACATATGTACATATATTGGATACAAAATTCAGCTGGACATTGAGCACATTTGAACCAGTGTGAAAAGCTACAGCAGGTTTCTATACCTGTAGAGGTTTAATCGGACTTACATAAATGGGGCATATCCCTTTGTACTGTGGATTGGCTATATATAGTTGTGGTGAGGTCTATACAGTTGTATGGGATGGTGGTCTTGTGATATCCTTACATGCTTAGCTAGGATATCAACCATCCTTTTAATAAGCTAAAGTATAAGGTAGGTAGTAATGGACTCATCTGAGGTCCTAAATTTCGGGTAAATTACGAAAACCCGAAAAAATGGCAAAAAAAACTCGCATTTTACTCGAGTCAAACGGACCTCAGCTTCGGATTCAGTGGGTCGAAATACATGTCGGTAGATGGCTCTGGTTAAAAGCACACACCACTTTTTTTAGTGTTGGGAAGTAGTTCGAGTAGTCGAGTTCTTTTGAGGATCGAGTTCTTTGGGTTATCGACACTTTTAAGGATCGGGTTTTTTTTTGAGAGTACTGAGTACTTTCTTTAAATGTGTACATGTTCATTGACATTTCAATGCTTAGTGTAGAAATCTCACAAGCTGGCAGCACTTTATTCAAATTAGTATTGTACTTGAAAACAATCTGAGTACCGGTAGATACATATAAATAAAACACAGTACTTTTAAGTGTCTATTCGGCACTTAATACTGAGCACATTGAATCGATCCTGAGAATAGAGTATTTTTGAGTACTGAGTACTTTCGAGCTCTTTTGTGAGTACTTTAGAGTCGTTTCTTGAGTATAGAGTTCTTTTGAGTACTCAGTATCGATTTTAAAAATCGAATGCGGTCGATCCTTTTGAGAATCGAATTCGGAGTACTGCCCAACACTACTTTTTTTGTGTGCCGATGTAATTAACTGCTGTACGGAAATGATGCATATATTTTGCATAAACATTTACTAAACTTAAAAAAATGCTTGAACTCGACTTAGGTTATTCTTTCAAATGGCCACAGTAAGCATCGAGAGAGCACTCGTTATAAAAATCATTTGCTTATGCATCTACAATACGTATGTATGTATATGAAGGTTTATGCTTATGTACTCCGACATACATAGATATGTATGTACACTAGGGTGGTCAAAAAAAAAGTAAAGTCGGAAATTTAATGCTCTCACCCCCTAGGATTGTTCTATATCGAAAAAAAAGTATACCCCTGTTTTTTTATTTTAAAATCAAAATATATTTAGAGGTCGCTCAAAGCGCTTAAAGTTTCTCATGTATTTTGTATGGTGAAAAAAAGACTTTTCGTAGAAACGGCATAGAATCCATGAAAATCCAAATTTTTAAATCTGAAAACTCTGCTTCTCTTCAGAAGACTTCAGAGAATAATGCCCAATTGTTTATTTAAACATTTCTTAGTTTTAACTATTTTTTAAGGGTCTCCGAAGTATCCCAAAAAAAATCAAATATACAAACAGAAATATACAAAAGAAAAAAAGAAAAATAGTTAAAATTAAAAAATGTTTAAATAAACAATTGGGCCGTGAGAGCATTAAATTTCCGATTTTACTTTTCTCCCATACATTTTTGGACCACCCTAATGTACACATTTGTAGGTGGTACATAAATATGTATAAGGCGCAAAAGATTAGATAATAGTATATTTTATTATTCAATCATATATACAGATGGAAAACAAGAAATTTGTGCACATTTCCAGATGTAAGCCGATTGCACTCACTCGCTACGGTTTCGATTTTTGTTTTTGCAATTATGCCATGGTTTAAAACTAATTTTGTATCGATCGTTGATGACTTGCTATTTTCCGCCATTTGACTTTCTTTTCCAAAGATTGGAATTTGTCATCAGTCATTTCACACTCCAGTGAATAAGTAGAGCCCCATAAAGAAATAGAAGAAATTGAGATGCAAGTGCAGGCGCCGAGCTGCCACGGTTAATCGGTCCTCTCTGATACTCAAAAAAAAACTTCCGCTTTAAGGGGCTGGATTATGTGTGACAGTGACGGTGACGGTGACTATAAATGCGACTGTGACTGCATCGAGTGACCGTTGTTAGCTGCCAAACGTCATTAACGACTAATGTTGGTCAAAGTCAGTTCAAATATTTGCGGAGTTCGTTTGTGTTTTTGCCTGTGTTTTTTGATTATAATTAGCGAACAAAACGTGTAAGCCTCTCAATATGTTGCTCATCGCTGTGATTTTCGCCATACAAATGCTCAGTATACTAATTAACCAAACGCCAGTTAGCCACTGTGAAGCACAACAACAAGCTTTCGCAGCACGCGATCCGCGCATTCGTCATCGTGGCATCGCTTACGCCACAAATCAGCTTGGCGTCAACGATCAAATTGCAACGCTCAATTCAACAGCACTACTGCAGCAGCTACCCTCACGCGGATACGGTGGCGATATTAGTGAGAAAGAGTATCGACCGCTCTACACTTTACCACAGCGTGCGACACCACCCGATGTGGCTAAATACCGCAATTATGGCAATTACTTCCAGCCCATTCCAATAAATGCACCCACACTGAAGATGTTGCCACCGCTCGCACCACCCTTTAAGAAGGAACGAAAACGCCATACGGAGTATTCCACACCAGTTAGCTTCGACCATCAAGTTCTGCACTTGGATGGCCAGATCGCGCAGGAATATCGCCCACGCCGCTACACAAATACCAGTTCCGACACAGCACGAGCGCATCGACGGACCCAAGCTATAAATACGCCAGCAGCTCATGCTAAACCTATAGAAGCACAAGCATCAATATTAAACGCCACGGAAGGGCCTCGAGGATCTCTGGAAAACATGGAACCCGCGCAGACAATTAAAAAGACGCAGTCATATCAGTAAGCTTTTAACTTTGTAGGCTCTTAGAACCAGTGTTGCCGTTGAGAATTTTCATAAAGTCGCTAAAAAGGGGTCATTGACGAAAAAAGGGCTCACCATATTATTTTTGCTTTTCTTGACTAGTAAAAGAATAAATCTGTTGGGACAAGTTTTGCATAAAAAAGGGTCGCAGACCCTGTATATTCCCTTTAAAAGTTTTAAGTGATGCATTTTTTAGTTCTTACAGGAGGAAATATTTTTTAGTAGCATGGTTCTGTTAACATTTCTTAAAAAAAAATCTCTGAAAAGGGGCAAAAGTCGCACATAATTTAGGAAAAGGGTCAAAAAATCAAAATTTTCAAAAAGTCGGGTCAAAGGGTATTAATGTTTAAAAAGGGTGGAATTGCCCCTTTAGTCGCACAACGGCAACACTGATTAGAACACTACCAATATATGTACATATTTTGAATTCATAGATTGCTACCTCTAAAAAGTTCAAATATATACCCATTTCTCCTCTTGGCCTCCCTCATTCTTCATCGAAGCAAGGACAAATACATGAAAGGAGAAGGGCATGAGTAGAATACTTGCACGGTATATATGGTGACATGCGTTTCACCCATTTCCCAAGGAAGTGCAGACGGGTTCTATGGATCTGTTTAGAACCTAAGAGGAAAAACTTATCAGGGAAAAATAATCAGGCTTAAATTGAGAGGCCCTAGCTCTCTTCGGTATGATAACGATCTTCCGAATTGTCCACACTTTTGGTATATAAGTACATATATCTATGTAAATATTATGTACTGTTAGAACAAACCATAATATCTCCAATGCTTTTTGGAGCTCTGCTGGAAAAACGCCATCTAGCTTAGGGCATTTTAAGAGTTTAAAGGAACAGGCAAATAGGGTCTTAGAAACGGCACGGAGGTTGCTTTAACATTTCGACCTTGCTTTTGGGCTTCTGGATGTAATTCGGTTCAATAAATCCTTCTCCGTCGATTTTACTCCTGTTGCATTCTAGGAACCAATAAAAAGTTCCGAAATTGGTGAATAAAAAACCACCTTTCCACATTCACTAAGCAAAGACCACTTGCACTTTGATGGGAATGTATACTAGAAGGTTTAAAGTAGTGCCGCCTAGAAGCGAAAGGCGAAGCGCTTAGCAACTCCTTTTTTCGATTCCACATTTATTTTTGAGATAATCGTGTTTTTTTTCTGGGAACTTTGCAAGAAACGAGCGACACGAAGATGACAGTGGTTTTTAGTTTAGTTTTATAAACTAAGGCACATATGTACACATATATATATATTTCACTAACTTTGTGAATGCATTTCTTCTAAAATATGTACATTCATACATCCATTTGCACAGTGATATATTTATGCGCTTTAACGGGCCGCACCATCTGGACTATGGCCATATCGAGTTGCAACCACGAAAACACTTTGAGAAACGTTTTGAGTCCTTGAACAAAAATAATGGCAATCGTCATCGTGGCGAGGTGAGTAAATATGCTTATAGGTGCTTAACTCTTCGCCAGAAATAATCATTAACAAGCGTGACTTTGGTAAATTCAAATTTCTTTCTTTTATGCATATCCACATAGAAATTTAAATGAAACTTCACTCATTTGTGTTTTTGTAATTTAGATTGTATGGGTCGATGCAACGGGCGGTTACGGTGAACACCATTGGGATTTGGCGCAAGGAAAACTTCGTTAAGGCGCCATCGGTACGTGACTCAACGCAATTCTTAAGTATTTACACTTTTAACTGCGTTTGAAGGCGAATCCCTCTCTAGCTAAGGTACGAATTGATAAATATGCAAATATTTATATTATCATACAAAGTGCTGTGTAAGTGTATCTGGAAGTTGAATGTGGAAATAGAAAATGCAATGCAATGCAAAAACAAAAATTTTAAATCAGAATCAGTTGTCCGTCTGCACACTTTGAGAATTGCACGGCTCATTTGCATTCGTATCTCTGATTGCTGGCGCCTGCGCAGACTTTCAAATTGGGACTGGGAATAGAAATGCATCACATTCAGCAATGGAAGGCGAGGGGGTATGCGGCGATGGAAGTGAAGCTGTAAATCACTTCTGCGGCTGCTGCCACTGCCGTGTTTTTCTATTTTATTTCTCACGCCAAAAGTGGTCAGTCAAGTTATGCGATGATAAAAGGTCAATTCGGTTGGATCGTGTCGTGGTCGTGGCGCGTAGCGAGCCAAATACGCGGTGCATCTAGGACAGTTGGAATCGGTAAAACCAGTTCTTAATGATTCAAGAACTTCGAAGGAGCTACGTTTGGTATGAAGGCGACGATCGTCAAACTGCGATCGTCCATATGCAAATGAGCGTACGCAGCCAAAATATTTAGTTGAGTGAAAAGTCGTGGTCGTGCAGGCGGCTGTCCATAATAAGGGTTGATTGACGACGCTGCTTTTGTCGCTCAACTACGAATACGTATGTAGTACCTGTTCGCAAGATTTTGTAACTTTTGTAAAGGTGTTGTAAATGTCTTGTAGTTCAAGGGTTGTGCTCTGTCCGATAAACATTTGCATAAAACAACAAAAACAACCAGGGGAGTATGTCAAATATACTTTAGCTGCTGTCATATGCGTATGACATTTTCTCGTCCTGCTGTGTGTAAGTGTTCAACATTAATCCTAGCGCAGGACATTGTCCGCCTAAAATATTTAAATTTTCTATTCGAATGCCAATTTGGTATGTAAACGTCAATCGAAATCAATAAAATTTTTGGATGGAAAGTGACAAAAGGTGTCATATGCGCCAACTGTTTCGGCTTCATTCTCCTCTACCCTCCACCCGGCGCTCACTGGCGCTGGCTTATTGCCTAGCCGTTGCGGCGAGCGAGCTAGCCTCTGGCCAGAACCGGTTTGTAGGCAAATGAGTAAGTAGCTTTTGCTGCGTGAAGTGACCCTCGATAGACGGTAAGACAGTGCAATGGAAACCCTTTTCCCATCAACTCATTCTTCTTCTCTTTGGCGTGACTGCGATTCGATCGTGTGAGATCTTATACAACAAGACTTAGGAGTGCGAGTATGTGTGTGTGTGTGTGTTAGTTTCATTGCTCGAAAGGACATCGCTGGAGTTTATGTATATTTCCCTTGATTGTTGGCAGTTGTTTATGTAGTTGATTGGACTCACTGCGATCGGACTTAATTTATGCGTTGAGAAATTTTGTTTGATTGTCTTGTCTGTGTTTCGTGTCTAGTCCGAACCGGTTTGACCGGTCCAGCTTGAGCTGGTGACCATCTTTTAGGGAGTATTGTAGATCTTATGTGGCTGAGAAGAGCTCGTTGCTTCTGGTGATCGGGTGGTGAACGGTTCATTTGACATACGAGTATCTGAATAAATACATATGTACGCGTGTATATGCGGTAGTTTTGTTTGCATCGACTTGCCGCGTACGAACCTATGAATACGTATTTTGTCATTCATACGTGGTGTGAGAAATTCTATTCTGACCTTCGCATTTTTATTTATTTTGTATTTCTTTGATTACAATAGCTGGCTTAATGGGCTCGCGTAATGGACTTAATGCTCAAGTAGCAATTAAGTGCCGTTTTGGTGGTGGATAAAAATGATGTGAACTCACAAGCTCCTACCACGGCATTCGTGGGCCTCATCTAAAAAAAAAGGTGGTCTATTGTTTTTACAGCTTTTGCAAGGTTCATTATAGGCAATACTCAGACTTCAAGAGTGGGTGGCAACCGGATAATGCCCAGCGGTTGGAGATATTCCTTAAAGGTTGTGATTTCTTTTAACTATAGGGAAGCATGGCACCATGCGCCACCTATAACCCGATTTCTGAAGATTGTGGATACAGATTTCACTCTGAATAGTTCCGATTGAGATTCACCGACTATGATCGAGATTAAATGAATAGCAGCCTCATTTCCAAGAATGTTGCGATGACTGCTAACAGAATTCTAAAGAGTTCTGCCTTCCTTACTGATCGGAAATACGTATGCCTGGAAAGCATTCGCAAAGTCAAACAATAGACTTATCTTCTTACTCTTAGGGAAGCTGTCAACTCTGCGTTCCATTTCGGAGCCATCGGTGTACAAATGATGTATTCAGGCGAAGATATCTAATTACCTATTCCAGTCGTATCTCCATAGGAGAAGGACCCCGAAGGGTCTGCCTATTTCTATTCAATTCTATTTCTGCTCCTGTATAGACGCTGTCCCTTAGCATATTTCTCTGATTCCTACAGCAGACACTGCAGCGGTACATCTCGTCTAACATTGAACGCATCCGAAGAGCAAGTTTCCTTTGACCTGTCTGAGGCTGTCCCCCCGACCAGGGAACCATAATATAAGATCGAACGATCCACTGTTGCAAACGCACAAAAGAAAACAAACCACATATCCATACATGTGTATTTGTATTTGTAATATTTATTTCGATTAAAAACTCTACATATATGCACTTACATAAGTCTAATCTACACTTCGTACAATTGTATAATGTTGGAGCAAAAGGATGATTTAAATACATAACCTAAGATGAAAAATGAAAATATGCCTTACTACCGAACCGAACCCAACCTGTAGCGGTCGCACGTATGTATGTAGGTATGTATATGGTTCGCTCTTTCTGATATATTCGGTAGACTAGTGGACTACCAAAATCGACTTCATATTTTATTCTTTTCAACTGCGCGAAACAGTTTTGGTCTCTCAGTGCTTGCCACCTACTGTTGTTGGTACTGCTGTGGCTGATGGTACTGCTGGGGCTGGTGATATTGCTGCGAAGGTTTCAGCGCATAGTCTTGGGATTTGTGAGTTTGGCGCACCAACTGTTGAGGCGCTGGCGTTGGTATTTTCACAACAATGTCGGTGGGTTCTCGAATTACTTCGGCTTTGAAGCCCTCCTTCGGGTCGGCGGTGTACTTTACGGTGCGTATGAAACCATCAGAGTCAACCACCGAGTAGCTGCCTTTGATCACCGAACCGTCGCGGACCTCCTTGCGATTCTGATAGTTGGTGAACTCGTCGTCCTTAACATCAAAGCCAAATTGGTAGGAAGAGTTTTGCTACAAATACATAAGTCAAAAAAAAAAGTGTTCCATCAGTTATTGAAATTCAGAAATTCATCATAAATTGTAAATATTTAAGTAGCAAATCAAATCGCTAACAGGGTACATATTAATTTCTAGTAAATGGATCAAATGCGTATCGGCCAGTGTCGGCCCCTTCGTACTGCGCGCATGCGCATGGGTGTTATTAATATAAAAGTTTGTATTTGCAATTGTTGTGCGTGCGTGTATTGCCTTAAAGTGCGCCAGACCAGACTGTAGTTGGGAAATCTGCGCGAACCCACCCAGCATTTGGTTGCGTCATTAGACGCAATGCGTGTGCGCTTGCTTCCCCAGCTATTACATTTGCGTGCATATGTGGGCTAAATAGATAGCGGCTGCATTCACCGAAACCGCCTCAACGGGCTGAGCGAGCGGCTCTGGCCCACCGGCAGGCTGAGTGGCTGGCATGCTGGCTGATCCCCGCCCCCCCTCTTCGCCTGACCGGCCGCTTATTTGCCTGGGTGATGTGGATACTCGTTCGTACGCACAGTGGGTACAGGTCGATGCCGCATGGTTGTATATATGTATGCGTGTGTGTGTTGTAGACAGTTGTGTGGCCGTCGGCGCGTATTATTTCAACAGAGCTGCACTGATGTTTTTTTTGTACATTTGTATGCACGTTCACAAGTGAAAGTGTTGTAACGGTAACAAAATCGAGATGCGGTGCGCATAGAGTTAGCAGGCAGGCAATACCACTTTGTGTATATGTATATACATACATATGTAGGTATAAAACTTTAAGAAACACAATTCGTGCTACTTATGCAAGTAGATTAAATTTTACTAGCCGAACACAGACGCTGCCATGGCTGCATACCAAACATCTGCTCAGAGGCGCATGCGCATGCGGTTCGATGCCGGCGGCATTTTATTTCTACAATCATAGTCAAATCGTACAAATACAAAACATTTTTATGAATGCAGCAACAAGTAAGTTATCTATCTGTATGCCTTTTGGAATGTGGATGAGCTCGATTGTTTCGATCTCCTTGAATTGGCATTGAGCATATAATTGCGATAATATACATACATACACACATTTACAATATAGTATATGTGCAAAAAATTGGCCATAAATCTTGACTCAAGTTGCAAACTCAAGATGCTACGAGTACAACGACGCACACCCACAATCTTTGATTGCAACAAAGAATGCTACGGCAAAAAAGCGCCGGCCTCAGGCCGCTCGCAGTGAATTACGTACAACAAACAAAAGCTATAAATAAACTATGAAAGGTCAAATTGCTGCAGAATGGAACACAGCACAGCACTGAATGCACCGCCAACGCATACACACACACACACACACAAACACAGCCACAAACAACAGACAACGACGTAAAGATCTGCCCCACTGCGTTAACTGATACAATGTTTGATTGGACCAAAAGTGGGTTAAGGTAGTTTCTATGCCGTCCTCGTCTTCCACACCGCCACACCGCCACCCTACTCCCTGCAGCACACAGAGCGAATGCCCACTGCGGTCGACAACAGTGGCTGCATACTTAACTGTCTTGGGTTGGGTAGGAGAATGGCTTGAATTGGCAACAAAATAAAAATTAAAAACCAAACAGCAAATCCAATCGACAGACAAAAACCTGGTCGACTTACTACAACTATACATAGGAATTGAAAGGAACGGAACTTTAAAAAGAGCTGAACGACGAAGTAATTTAGAATGTAAACTGTCAGAGTGTG